ACTTTTGGAACATTGACACTTTTGCTTTCTGAACGAAAACAAAAACAAAAAGCAACAGCAAAAAGCAAAAGAACCCCCCCCCCCAACCCAGTTTTGTTCTTTGTAAAGTTACTAAGAACTTTCTGCCAAGGAATGCAACCTTGACAATGTGCTCTCAGTGACTATGCTGAACTACTCAGTCCTTAAGAGGAAGAACTTTAATAAATAGCTTCTAACCCTTGGCGCAGGACCTCCCTAACCTGTTGCTGAGTAGAAAATAGCTGTCAAAAGTATAGGCCATAGATGCAGAGCTGGCTGTCACAGAGTTAGGAGGACACAGATCTTTCTGCCTGTCTGCAAGGCTATGGGAGCTGGGAACCAGTTGTGTTAATACCCTTTTAGTTTCCTGGTAATGCCAGGCCAAAGAATAGGATCCCTTGCCAAATCCATTAGAAAGGAATGCCATTGTTTTGTTTGGTAGAGCATATGGCTAGTAAAGTATGTGTAGGGACTCCCAGCATTTTGCTTAAAAGTTTGCTGCAACAGTATAAACAATTAAGGCAGCACTCAGAATTTCCAATCCTGAAAACCTGTTGGCTCAGATGTTCTGTTTTCAAGGAAGCCATGCAAGACCTGAGCGTCTTTGCTGGGCTGGGGGTTGCGGGAGGCAGACAGACTACAAGACCTGAGCATCTTTGCTGGGCTGGGGGTTGCGGGAGGCAGACAGACTACAAGACCTGAGCATCTTTGCTGGGCTGGGGGTTGCGGGAGGCAGACAGACTACAAGACCTGAGCATCTTTGCTGGGCTGGGGGTTGCGGGAGGCAGACAGACTACAAGACCTGAGCATCTTTGCTGGGCTGGGGGTTGCGGGAGGCAGACAGACTACAAGACCTGAGCATCTTTGCTGGGCTGGGGGTTGCGGGAGGCAGACAGACTACAAGACCTGAGCATCTTTGCTGGGCTGGGGGTTGCGGGAGGCAGACAGACTACAAGACCTGAGCATCTTTGCTGGGCTGGGGGTTGCGGGAGGCAGACAGACTACAAGACCTGGGCATCTTTGTTGGGGGATGCACAGACAGACTACAAGACTTGGGCATCTTTGTTGGGGGATGCACAGACAGACTGCTGGCTTGATGACTTCTTCGCTCAGAGTCCCACCAGCTTGCTGGACAGGTTAGCTCTGTCTAGATCCCACTTTCTTTCCAACCAGCTCTTGATGTAACTCCCCAAAGCATGATCCTTATGACTTTATTTTCTGAATCATATTGAGAAAAATAGACATGTTGGAGTTTTCAAGTGGCCACCCAACTTTTTCAACCTTTCATAGTTGGAAGGTGAGAAAGAAAACCTTTATAATGAAGGTTTTTGTGTGGGGGATGGGCTCAGTGTTTTAGAGGGTTGGTCCCAGACCTGATATGAAGGGACTCATATGTGTCTTTATAGACAAACTCCACCTATCATGGCCTCAACTGCAGTTTCTACTTACTTGGCTTTAACTGCATCATGTGACTAAATGTACCTTTGCTTTCTATCAGCCACATTTAACTGCACAGTCAGTCAGTGCTGGTGTGCTGGTGCAATATCCTTCCCTCTGACTTACTGGATTTATATAGAAAATTAGTCTCTTGGCATTTAGAGATCTGGCAGTTAAAGAATTGGGCCATTTATGTTCTTTCTTACTCATGGCCTTGATCAGTACCAATGGTTCTCTCAGTTCTACAGGATTTTGTTTCTGCTTCTCTGTTTGTTGCACAGACTACAAGACCTGAGCATCTTTGCTGGGCTGGGGGTTGCGGGAGGCAGACAGACTACAAGACCTGGGCATCTTTGTTGGGGGATGCACAGACAGACTACAAGACTTGGGCATCTTTGTTGGGGGATGCACAGACAGACTGCTGGCTTGATGACTTCTTCGCTCAGAGTCCCACCAGCTTGCTGGACAGGTTAGCTCTGTCTAGATCCCACTTTCTTTCCAACCAGCTCTTGATGTAACTCCCCAAAGCATGATCCTTATGACTTTATTTTCTGAATCATATTGAGAAAAATAGACATGTTGGAGTTTTCAAGTGGCCACCCAACTTTTTCAACCTTTCATAGTTGGAAGGTGAGAAAGAAAACCTTTATAATGAAGGTTTTTGTGTGGGGGATGGGCTCAGTGTTTTAGAGGGTTGGTCCCAGACCTGATATGAAGGGACTCATATGTGTCTTTATAGACAAACTCCACCTATCATGGCCTCAACTGCAGTTTCTACTTACTTGGCTTTAACTGCATCATGTGACTAAATGTACCTTTGCTTTCTATCAGCCACATTTAACTGCACAGTCAGTCAGTGCTGGTGTGCTGGTGCAATATCCTTCCCTCTGACTTACTGGATTTATATAGAAAATTAGTCTCTTGGCATTTAGAGATCTGGCAGTTAAAGAATTGGGCCATTTATGTTCTTTCTTACTCATGGCCTTGATCAGTACCAATGGTTCTCTCAGTTCTACAGGATTTTGTTTCTGCTTCTCTGTTTGTTGCTTAGTTTGAGAGAAAAGGAGCTAATTTTTACAAAGGTGATTCATTGGACTTGCACGTTGATTGAGTGTAAGTTTGTAAGGGGGACTTCTGGTGGAGCTACATCGTGACCTTGGCTGTGTGGGTGGTACCCCCCACAGTTGCTTATTTTTCCCATGTGAGAAATGGCACACATCCACCTCAAGTTGATTTGATGAAATACCACAGATCTGATGACTGCAGAACAGACAGTCCATTCTCCAGTAGAGTAAGGTATGATGCAAGCATTTTGCCTACTCAGGAAGCATATTTATCATCTGAATAATTATAGGGATTATTTGAAAATTTATGGTGAAGATCTATCTTGTTGCTTTGGGGATAATTCAGCTTTACAGTGTAGTGCATCAACGTATTTGGAGAATAGAAAAGTGCATGCATTTTCTTTTCTTTATAACTTTGCACAACATAGGTGCAGTCAATGAGCGTTACCTACAAGCATTCCGAAGATGTGCCTTTCAGTTGCAGTTTTCCTGCTTTGGGATGCATACTTTGGCCTCTTTTCACTGGTTTTATCCTTTGCTCCTTTTCTCTGGATTTTAAAATGAAGCCAACAAAGACATGGTAGTAGAGAGACCGCAAGAGCTAAAATGGCCTGACCTTTTAACTGAACTTGTCCTACTGTGTTCAGGTGGGATGTGACCCAAATTTGTGAAATGATGTGAATTGTTATTAGCTAAGGAGCAGGGAAGCATTCTAAGACTTTCTGAAATGTGGTTCAACAAATGAAAGTGATTTTTTTTTTTTTATGGATGCCACCCAAGATTGTTCCCCAAAGTTAGTATATTCTTTGCGTGGCTGACCCCAAACCCTCAATGTTTATCAGAAGTCTTTTCTTCAAAGGAAGGACAGTAGGAATGAGCAAAGCCAAGGAAATGGATTTAAATTGTCAGTGAAACAGAAATCAGAGGCCTTCTGGACTGAGACATCATATTTTATCTTCTTTGGATTTGTAACAGCAGCTACTCAGTCCATGCAGCCTACCACTGAGCCTACATATCCTGCCAGAACTAGCTGCCGATTCTTACAATTAGCTTACTGTAGAAGGGACAGGGAAAGAGAAGAAAATAATACCCCAAGAAATAGATACTGCTCCCCTAGCCAAGGTGTAGTCTATAGCAGCGTTGTCCCCTGTTGGAGGATACCAAGCATAGAAAATTAGAGTTAGACATGAGCACTGCCCAAGACAGAGTTAAGAAGGCTTGCCTGGAGGACTACTTTTCCAGATCCCCAAGGAAACCACTTCAAAGTGGAGTGAACTCCCACAGCTCCATCCCTCGCATGCCTTTTGACCTTTCCTGTGAATTACTACTCACTGAACCTCTGAACCTTTAGGGGTTACACACTTCTTATCCGAATTATGGAAAACATTGGCCACAAGAGGGCGCATCCCAAAGCCTTTCTCTCTTGATCAGCTAATCTGGGGAAGACAATTATGCCTACTTGAAGCCCCAGCCTGTAGCACCCTAATTCTTGGTGATTATCAGTTATTTCCTCTCCAGCCCCCCACCCCCATTTGCTGAAGTGTTAAGTTTTGACATGATGGGAGGGGCATAGCTACTTGTAATACATTGTGTGAGACAGGCTCAACAATGGGGGCGGTGATCTCCTGAAGATTCAGTAGCTCCCTGGGCCGCAGAGGAGCAATACATTTCAAAAACAAACAAAGCAGGGCTTGGGCTATGTGTGTGAATCATCAGTAGCACCGATGTGAGCACAGTCTCTCCCTAATACGGTCGCTTGGGTTTTACAAAAACATCTTCCATCTCCCCTGATTCTGTTCCCTGGTTTGTCTGTCTTATCAACGCTTTTCACCAGGGACAAATGACAAGTTACTTCGAACAGGGAGAAAAAAAAAAAGACTATTTATTTAACGCCTGGTGGGAACACGAAGTTCAGCTGCCAAGGATGCATTTGTTTCCTAGCTAAGAATGTGGAGAGAAACCGTGGGGGAAGGATGTGCAAAGAGATGAACCCTGGTTTTCTGCCTGTGAAGTGGGTGTACTGTAGTGGAGATGAGGAGATGCGGGGAGGGGGCGGGGAGTGCAGTTTTCACATGAAGAGACCTGGAGTGCTACCTTCCCGAGCACTTTACATGAAAATACTTATTTGTCTTGAATTTTCTGTTAAGCCATATTTGAGCATGATCTCTTCACTTTAGTTCAGAATTCTTTATACTTAACTGGGTCTTGGCGGGGGGGGGGGGGGGTGTCCAAAACTGTAAAAGTGTAAAAATTCTCAGGAACTCTAGAAGAAGTCTGTGAAATTCTGTGAATCTTGAGACTTTGTTTTCTACTTATTTCAGGAAATAAGATTCCCTTTCCCCTGAATACTTAACCTTTTCTATTACTATTTAAATGGAAGAGGCAATGGATGAGAAGTTACTCAGGATTGAACACTTACAATAATTCAAAGATGGATCCTAAGGCGAGGTATTGAAGTTAAAAGGTTTAACAGGATTATTTAGACAAGCAAACCCCATAGTTCTGCTAGAGGCAAGATTCTCTACTGTAGGTCAGATGAGGAATAACCTTTAAGACCTCACTTGCTGCCTTCTGCAGAAATCCATGGAAGCAGTCCAGAGGCAGATTTAGTGCTTCAAGAGAACTCACAGGCTGTAATGCTGACCCTACATGCTCCCCGTATCCCATCTCTAGGCACAGGGAACCGTGATGAAGAATGGAAATTTAAAGTAACACATGAGTTTTACAACAGAGCTTTGTATCCCTCATGGTGAGTTTAAATGGTCACTATAACAGCCAAGCTTTCCACATTAACAGAGACACACTAATTACCTGTTTGTAAAAGGGCAGCATATTTTACCTGGACCCTAGTGTGGAAAACCAAGCTAAACTAAATTGAAACATCATATATGTGTGTATTGCTTATTTAACTGGAAATGATCATGCACCCATAAATCTGAGATGCTGAACTTGGGATGTGTAGTGTTTGCATCTTAATGTTGGGGAAAGAAGCAAGCAGGGAGCCTGACTGGTTAACCCCTGGCATGCCTTTATTGATCCAGTTAGTGAAAAATTCTAAAAGCAAGAGACATTGCTGTAAGCACCTTTTCATAGACTTAAACAGATCTTCTTCTGTCCAGCCCTCCCACGAGGCAATGTTTCAAAGGCATTCCCTGTAAGGTACAAAACTGATCCCTCCCAAATGTTCTCCACCATTTTCCTCTCCCCTTGGATGTGCCCACAAAGCTCACAGGGGCTTAAGTGATGAGGTTTTATCACCCACATGGGTTTGCGTGGGACCTTCTTATTGAATTACTCAGACAGAGCAGGCTGTGATACAAGCCTTGCTCACAAGCCTCAGGACAAAAAATAGCACAGGGGATGAAAAGAATATTATCAGAGAGTAGGTAATGAAAGGTTAGGAAGCAACCAGCTCTATCTGGTTAGCTAGGGCATGGTGTAGGAACCCAGCACACACCTGTATGAACTAGTGCCATGCTTGCGCACACAGCATTATGGGAAGGCTTTCATTGTAGGGCTTTATAGCACCAGATATTTAAGTCAGTCTTGTGACAAAAAATTGATCCTAAACATCTCAGCCTTAGGCATCCTTCCTCCATGTTCCAAATCCTTATGTGGAGAGATTTGCAGCTTGGGGCTGGATGTGATGGAGGCACCACCACAGTATAGCATTTCTCTCAGGAAATGCAGATAAAAGGAATATAGCATTCGGTAGTTATTAGTATGTTTTTCATCCTTATATAATTTGAGTGTTGTAATATATTTCTGAAACCGACAGCTCTGGTAAACAGTCAATCTATGCCAGCTTCCAGCCGTCTCATTCTCCCCACCCCCATCTGCAATGAAAGCTAATGTAAAAGAGAAAAGAAACGCACTGCTTAATAAGTCAGAATACAATAGAACTTGTAAAATGTACCTGCGCATGAGGTGGACCTGAGGAAGACTTGACTCTCTCCTCCCCCTGCTCTCCTGAGCATTATGGCAACAGCATTTTCGTGAAATTGGATCTCAGTTTTATTTTTCCCTGATAAAATATCATGCAATATACAAATAGCAGTTCCAGAAATGGACACCAGGAGAAGGAGGGGATAGGCATGTCAATTAGTAGGGGGAAAATCCAAATGTCAGAAATATGGGGGAGAGATGAAGCAGGCTGGAGTGATACAAATCCAGGGAGCAGAGTCCTGCGGCTGGGTAATTAAACTCTGCATAAATCAGCGCCCTTGCCTCCCCATGACACACAGGCGATGGCGTGCAGTTAATTGTCAGCCAAGACCAGCCTGAAAGTTGTTTTATGATGACTCTCTGAGCCTATGTAACAGCACCTGACAGACTGAGCCCCCTCTAATGAGCTCTCTCTTTGTACGATCCTCTCTCACAGGAACACTAAATCATTTGCTTCCAAGTACAGCTGCTTGTGAAGAAGGGGCGGGGCCACCTCACACATTAGAAACCTGTTCCCATGAAATGAGGGGCCATCCTGCAGGCTGTGTGACAAGAGCACTTGGCCTCAGCCTTCCTGGCCCTGCAGAAAAGCAATTTGTATGTGCTGTCACTTGTTCACTGTGCTGATTAACCCTTCCTTCTCTTCCATCCCCCAGCTTCTGTGGTCAGCCAGGGACCATTTATGTGAAATCCAGTGGGTGCGGGTCAGCACTGCCATGAGCCCCCTGTCCTTTACACACATGCCAAGTACCCATGAGGGTAGAACAGAGTCTGGGAGACGGGTGTCTTACCTGAGACCTGGTGAGCCTTGCCAGCCAGGAGCTAGTCAGGAACAACTTTCTGGAGAAACAAAACATAGCCTTAGCCTTGTGCCTTCTGATTTCTCTACTTTAGCGGCTACTTTTGTTCTGTCTCTGCTGAATGGTAACACTGTGCAGTTCAGGAGTGGGCTTGCCTGGAGGAAGGAAGGAAAAGAGCAAGTAGCTTGTTAGCATTATCTAAGGGCAGGGTAGAGATGCCCACACTGCGAGGGAATCATGCCCTTCCACCTTCCCCCCGCCCCCGTACCCTATCCTTTCTCCTTACTGGACCCTCTCTGTACCCCACCATCTTACTGCTGCAGTTACCACCTTAGATTTTGCTGCCTAGAGTCTTTTACTTTCTTATAAAAACAAACAATAGCAACAATAAACAATCTCAGCAAAAGATTCACTTCCAGGATTCACTTTAAATTATTGTCAGGATGTTTCCCTCTCTCATTCGTCCTTGTTCTGGGATGGTGTAGAATCACAAGCTCCTCTTAATTATTCATTTTAACTCCTGAATAGAGATGTGAAGTTAGAAGGATGCCTTTTCCACCACCATCTTTTTGGCAAATTTCTAAGTATGTGCCAGGGAGGCCTCTGTGTCTATAGGCAGCCCCTTCTTAGCCCCAACTTCGTGAATTTGTCACTCCTGTATTCATAGTGTACAGAGTGTGTTAAATTAAGACCCAACTCGACAGCGTACCATGCACAGAAAAGCCTGCCTTCTGCTGCAGAGCACTCGAAACTCTGCAATTTATAGTACCGTAAACATCTCGAGGCCTCCAGTGATGAGTGTGACTGGATTTCCGCTAGCTGTAGAAAGCAGGCAGGGAAATCTTTCAGAGAGCTGTGAGTTCTAAGATGAAGATCTTGAAGATTGTTCCAAGATTTGTCCATGCAATTCATGTACAACAGACAGCTGTAAGTAGGTCCATGATCAGGTAAAAGAGGACATGCTTTTATATACCTTCAGCCAGTAATATGGACATGAGGGGAAATATTTGCCTAGTCAAAGAATTTGAGTTTTGACCCTTGCTTCTTATAGTAAATGGTATTGTGTAATAAACCTACACGTGCTTATGAAAAGAAAAGGAAATAGATGACTTTCTAACCTTATAGCTGGGTAGAGTGGGGTGGTTACTGAAATTTCTTCTATGTTAAAAGCAGTTGGAAGTTGAAGTTTGCTTTTGGTATACATTTGATGCATTCTTAATGAACAGAGGCAAAAATACAGGATGCAGAAGTAAGAGTTACTCTCTTAATTTACTGTAACTCAATGTTAAATATGCCTCCATTTGTTAATTAATAATCAAGCAATTACCTACTCTCTGCTAAGCACTACACTATGACTGTGAGCGAGAAAAAGACCAGAGCCCTCAGGTGTCCTGAACTAGACTGGCCTGAGGGTGGAGGCAGAGTCGAGGGAGGAAAGGCTTCTGAAGAAAGCGGGGTCAGTTCTGAAAGCAGAGGCATCATTTTGGTCCACAACTAAGGGTGGTGTGTTGGGGATGGGGTAGGAATCTTCCTTGCATCGAGAGCAACGAGTGTCACTGCTGCAGGTGAGGGACGATGTGAGGTTCTCAAGCCTTACAAGGAAACATCAGGGAGCTGGAACCCAGACAACATGTGCCTACAAGATATGCCGAGTCTAAAGGCCTGGGCCATTTCTGTTGGACATCAAGAACAAACAGATAAAATAGAGAGGTCAGGCATGATCAACTGCACCTTTAGGGAAGATTCCTTTAACTGCTTAATGCAGTGATGACTGGAGAGATGCCTGACCCAAAGCTGCAGAGGCCACCTATTGAAAAGTTTGCTGCTGTCATGGGACAAGGTGACAGAGGAGTGAAGTCGTGAGGTAGCAGAGCAGAGCAATCTAGCCCAGAGAGTCCAGCCCACACTGGCCCACACAGAGAAGCAGGGGACATGGTTTTGGCTTTTGAAGTCAGAATAATTCCATAGCTTGCTGGGACTTACAGGTTTCCTTTATATGATCTTATTTGATCCTATGAGGTCCTGGGTCCATCCTCATCATGTCATCTTATTTTATAGATGAAGCTTAAAAGAAGCAGCAAATGACATAGATACAGAACCCCAGGCCTTCTTCACCCCAGAACAAAGTCTACAGATTTGTCTCTGTTAAAGGCTAGAGTGTAAATATTTTAGGCTTTGTGATCTAGTGTCTCATGTAACTTCAATTCTGTTTGACAGTGAAACATGGTCACAGGCAATATGTAGAGAAATGCACATAGTTGTGTTCTAATGAAACCATATTTATAGTTGCTAAAGTTTCAATTTCAATTAACTTTCCTATGTGAAAAACTATTTTTCTTCAACTTTCAGAAACTGTAAGCTTGATAGCCATTGACCCCATGAGTGGGCTGAAATTTGCTGACCACAATGTGAGAGATTTTTGCTTTTCTAAAGGCAGTGATAGAAGTAAATTATGCAATTAACAAGTGTCCTTTTTTTCTCTTGTCTTGTGTTTTATCTTCAGGCACAGCCAGGAAGACACTGCACTTTGAGATTTCCAAGGAAGGCAGTGATCTGGCCGTAGTGGAGCGTGCAGAAGTCTGGCTTTTCCTGAAAGTCCCCAAGGCCAACAGGACCAGGACCAAAGTCACTATCCGCCTATTTCAACAGCAGAAGCATCCACAGGGCAGCTTGGACATGGGGGATGAGGCCGAGGAAGTGGGCTTAAAGGGGGAGAGGAGTGAACTGTTGCTATCAGAGAAGGTGGTGGATGCCCGGAAGAGCACTTGGCACATCTTTCCTGTGTCTAGCAGCATCCAGCGCCTGCTGGACCAGGGCAAGAGCTCCCTGGATGTGCGGATTGCCTGTGAGCAGTGTCAGGAGAGTGGTGCCAGCCTAGTGCTCCTGGGCAAGAAGAAGAAGAAAGAAGGGGAGGGAGATGGGAAAAAGAAGGATGGAAGTGACGGAGGTGTGGAAGAGGAGAAGGAACAGTCACACAGGCCTTTCCTCATGCTGCAGGCTCGGCAGTCTGAAGACCATCCTCACCGCAGGCGACGGAGGGGCTTGGAGTGCGACGGCAAGGTCAACATCTGCTGTAAGAAACAGTTCTTTGTCAGCTTCAAGGACATTGGTTGGAATGACTGGATCATTGCTCCCTCTGGCTATCATGCCAACTACTGTGAGGGTGAGTGCCCAAGTCACATAGCAGGCACTTCTGGGTCCTCGCTTTCCTTTCATTCGACAGTCATCAACCACTATCGCATGCGAGGTCACAGCCCCTTCGCCAACCTTAAGTCGTGCTGTGTGCCCACCAAGCTGAGACCCATGTCTATGCTGTACTATGATGATGGTCAAAACATCATCAAAAAGGACATTCAGAACATGATTGTGGAGGAGTGTGGCTGCTCCTAGAGCTGCCCGGCCCCAGAGAGAAGGAGCTAGAGTTGTCCAGAGAAGACAGTGGCAAAATGAAGAAAAATTTAAGGTTTCTGAGTTAAACAAAGCAACCAGAAAAATAGAAATAAAAAACCCACAAAAACAAAAACTAAACTGAAAACAAAACCTGATGAAACAGATGAAGGAAGATGTGGAAACAATCCTTAGCTAGGGCTCAGAGATGAAGCAGGGAAGGAGACAGGGATTGGGAGGGAAAGAGAGAATGCTGTACCCTTTATTTCTTCCAAAACCAAACTGATCACATCAGTTTTATCCAAACTGGGGTATTGTCCTCTCTCCTGCCTCTTGCGGTTCCCTTGTGAGCCTTGAAGTCTACTTGTCTATTCTGCAGTAATGTGGGCTAGCACAACCCAAATAATGTCTAGAAAGCCATGAGTTTTAAAGGGCCAGTCCCACCCAGTTACCCAGGTCATAAGTATGTCTATGTGACACTATCTCTGTGTATATCAGCACACACACACACACACACACACGCACACACACACAGAGGCATTTACACATAACACACACACATACACATACTGGTAAAAGAATAATTTTGTGCAGGTGGTCACATTTTCTTTTCTGCACTACTTTTGCAACAAGACAAAACAAAACCAACATAAAACATTGAGAACAAGAATGGGAAGAGTGAAAGATCAAGGAAAAAAGAATACCAAGTTACATTTCGTTAAGGTGCTTATGATCTCAGAACTATGCAACCTAATAGGTTTGAAACTGTTTACCTGAGAGAGAACAAAAAGAGAGACTTTTTTGTATTGGAAGTAACCTGATTAATTTTTATTTTCTTCAAGGAGAGATACTTGAAAGGAATATGTTTGTCCATCTGTTGGATCCAAACATTTCTATATTTTGTAAATGTTGTTTTTTTTATCGTTTACTATTTGCACTATGATGGTGTTTGACCTGTCTAATCCTTATTTAACAAGTATTTTCTTTGGGTGGGGGTGGGGGTGGGGTTTAAGAGCTGCACTTAATGTGAGCTATAAAAGAACTGCTACAGCACACAAAATAGCTATTTTTATTATTATAATTATAATTATTATTATTATTTTGTACCTTAAAAATAGACACATACACCAAAGACGTTTGTGTGAGCCTTTAAACAGTCTGTCTGTGGTTGGTATCATTCACCATCAAGGAGTCAGGGGTTGAGATTCAAGGTTGAGCAAGGTAGATTGTGTTCAGGCTTAACAGACCTGAGAAGTTTGGATTTCAACTCTATTTACATCCATGAAACAGGACACTTCATACTGGATGTACAGTAGTGTACACTGTTGGATAACAAGTTCAAATCCATGAGACTACATGCTTGTATGTGTATATATACATTGCTTGTGCATATGCATACCTGTGTGTATATATACATGTATGTACCATGTCCATACACATTTTAAGCACTTCAGGCTGTCATTTTTTAATGTTCTTAAAGCAATGAATGTTTGTGTGCAAAACACAGTATTTTTAAGAAGGATAAGTGATAGTTTTTTTTTGTTTTGTTTTTTTTTTTTTTTGCTTTTACTCTGTATTAGGTGGGTACATTTCAAAAATTTGAATGGGAAAAAGCCTGAAAATTCCAGTGAATATTCAGTGAGGCCCTCTTTAAATGTACAAGAATGAAACTACCCCCTCTTTCTTACCCCTGCTCCCTACAAGTTATCCCCTGTGGGGAAAACAGGATATTAATCAAAACTGTGGGCTGATTTTTTCACCTTATATTTATTATTTATTGGAATCAATCTTAAATCAGAAACTTTTTCGGAAAAAAAATATCTTTAGGCTAGAATGAAAGTTTTTTTTTTTCTTAAAAAAAAAACAACAAAAAACAATTCAGGCCTAATTGTGAGAGATATTACCTGCATCAGCTGGGCGTCATAGTGCTGTTACTAGTTAACTGATACAGTTTAGAGGAAAGTATTTAAGACAGTGGGAGTTTATATGAATTAGGAGTCAGGGATGAGGGTAGTTGTACAAATCTCTAATATTTTATTTTACAGCCAAAACTCTTAATGTGTAAGTTTGTATGTATTATTCAGATGCAAAACAGAAAAATTGTCTTATAAATATCAAAGTATATGCTTAAAGCTAAGTTTCTAATTTATTCCAGTGTTTTGCTTGTCTAAAACAGCTAATAAATTATTCATCTATGTCTTTAAAATACAGAGCCTTATTTTTACTGACTTGTTTGAAGTTTGAGAAACTTTATAAAAATTTAACCTAAAACAATCTAATTGAGAAGTATATTCCTCAGTATTTTATAAAATATTGACTTTTAGCATTAAATCAATTCATAGATTAAAATAATTATAGGAAAATGAAATATAAGTGAGGAACTAAATATTACAAAAGGTGGTCCAGCTCTTTAAAAATTATACCAAGTCAGTAGACTATAATATTAGGCTGTATGTAGGCAAACTACTTTAGCCTTATTACTGGACAAACTTACTTACTGTGTTCTAGGGACCCTCCCCGTCTTACACAGGAAATGCATGTCCTGTGTAAGAAGAAAATTATAATTAATGTCCATTGACTTTGGAGATCTTGCATGTGGGGAAGGATGGACGGTGAGGACAAAGAGGGAGGAACAGATGGCCACATTCAACTTTGCCAATTTTCATGAGAAACTTTAGGGCTCTTTGAACTGTTTCTTTGGTACTGGAACTAATTCTGGGGCTTATAGAAATAGGTGAGGTGTGTCATAGTGGAGGCAGACAAGACCAAGGAAAGAGCAGAAAGTTGCAAAACAGCTAACTATGGTTTCCATTCATCTGCGAAGAATCTGCAATCTTTGTAAGAACTTTCAATTTTAGATGTATTGGGGCTAAGATGAGGTTTGAATAGTGACCATAGCAACTAGATCTAGAATGAAATGAAACTCTATATGACAGTGTTTTAATTGGATATCAAGTGATTTGATTGTCACATACCCACATATGTACATGGCCTTGCAATAGAATTTCAACTGCTAACATCTTTAACAATATGAGGTATTGTTTTGCTGTATTTAACAATTTTAAAAGATTCATAGTCTTGTGAACAATTGGTCTTTTCACATAGCCACTTAGACTAAAATAAAAAGCTTTAACATCCTAACATCTTAGTTTCCTCATAGTATGTTTTACCCAACATGACAGTGGCTCATCTTGGCCCTGTTCTTTCTCTAGGCTAATCTCTTGATTCTTAAATACCTGCCTACACTAATCCTAGAAGCTCCAAAGAACACATGTCCTCAGTATCTCATTAACATTTTTCTAAGCTGAATTGACATTTTTTTTCCAAAAAAGTAAGGCAAATTCTGGCACACTGAGCTGGGATTTTCTTATCCTAAAAGACCAGCCAATTCCATGTTCATTTAAGATTGATTCCACACTCCACTGGCAAGGAGAGTCCTTGTATTTCCCTAAAAGTTAGAATAAGCCAACTTGTTTCACATTTGTAGGATTGGTCTTTCAGCGGTGACTAAAAAACAGATAATAAATATGTCTCAGTTGTATTCAACATGCATTCAAATTATCATATTCACTTGAAAATATGATTTCCTGTGGGCCTTTTGTCAATTTCTCTTTTAAATGTAGAGAAAAAACTAGTCACCCCCAAAACCTGCACAAGTGGAACTTGTAGATGTGGGCAGGAGGTTTGGGGATGGACATTGTATGTGTTTAAATTAAATCCTGTATCACTGAGAAGCCATTGGATGGTCAGAGAAAATGAATGCTTAGGTGCTGTTCATGCCTTATGAGCAGCAAACCACATGTCTCTGCTATATTATTTATTTTTATGCATAAAGTGATCATTTCTTCTGTATTAATTTTTGATGGGTTTTACGCTCTATTTAAATGCTTTGAAAAACAGTGCATTGACAATGGGTTGATATTTTTCTTTAAAAGAAAAATATAATTATGAAAGCCAAGATAATCTGAAGCCTGTTTTGTTTAGAAACTTTTTATGTTCTGTGGTTGATGTTGTTTGTTTGTTTTTATTTTATTTTGTGTTTTTTGCATACTATGTGCAGTTCTTTAACCAATGTCTGTTTGGCTAATGTAATTAAAGTTGTTAATTTATATGAGTGCATTTCAACTATGTCAATGGTTTCTTAATATTTATTGTGTAGAAGTACTGGTAATTTTTATTTACATTATGTTTAAAGAGATAACAGTTTGATATGTTTTCATGTGTTTATAGCAGAAGTTATTTATTTCTATTCCATTCCAGCGGATATTTTGGTGTTTGCGAGGCATGCAGTCAATATTTTGTACAGTTAGTAGGCAGTATTCAGCAATGCCTGACAGCTTCTTTGGCCTTATGTTAAATAAAAAGACCTGTTTGGGATGTATTTTTTATTTTTATTTTTTTGTCTTTACTCATTTGTTTTTCAAGGTCAGCTTTCACACGTCACTGCATCTTTGCTAGGTGATAATTTTATTGCAACTTTAACTTTCCAGAGATGAGAAAACAGACGGAACATGGATGGAGCACATGCTCGGGAGGGGGAACTCACGTAGAAGCATCTGTGCTACTGCGGAGAGGCTTATAATAGGCTGTAGAGTCTTGGACTAGCAATATTGTCCTTTTTTTCATTTTGTTAATTTCCTTCTCCAATTGCAGTGGCAACCAGTCACAGGAAATAAAGAGATATTCTTTACTTTTCTCCCTCCCTTCTTATTCCTTCTCTTTTCTTTATCCTTTCCCTTCTAAGTAGAAAATTGGGACTACATGGAACAATTAGAGCCAGAGAAAAATGTCCACATGAAGGAAGCATACTTAACTCTAATACCAGTGCTAACAAAACCAATTTGTGATCAAATGCATACTGAAGAATCAATGAATATTTCAATATTTTCTCTACAGCTTTCATTTGGAACCTGTATCCAATTGGGGGTTATATGGAGAAAACTGATCACTTAAATGCCAATATGGATGAAGAATGTCACTTCACTTCTGTTTTAGTGTCATTTCTGCTGCTGTGATAAAATATTCAAACAAAAGGCAACTTAGGGGAGCAGGGTTTATTTCAACTTACAATCCAGGTGATAGTCCAGCCTTGTGGGGGAAGTCAAGGCGCTCAAATAGCCAGTCACATCACATCCACAGTCAAGAGCAGAGAGAAGTGAATGCAAGCATGTTTGCTTGCTTGCTGGCTTGTGCTCAGCTCGATTTCTCCACTCTCACACAGTTCAGGACCCCATGCCTAGGGAATGGTACAACCCACAGTGGGATGAGTCGTCCCACATCAGTTAACTTAGTTAAGACACTCCTCCACAGACATGCCCACGGGGCAGCCTAATGTAGGCAGTCCCTTACTGAGACTTTCTTCCCAGGGGATTCTGGGTTGTGTCAAGTTGACAGCTAAAACTCACCATCTCAATTCAATATTTATATATCATTGTTTTAACCCACACACAGTAGGTGCTATCTTAGCCTTTGCACAGGAAACTCAGACACAGGTAAGTAAAATTACTTGGTACTAGGGTCCCAAGCAGGTCTATCTATGTTCAAGTTATATTAATTTTCTTTTCACTTTTCCATGCTTCCTTTTTTGTGTTAGTCTCATATACTATGAAAAAAGGGGGTTGTTGGGATGAGCACTGAAGATAGAATGATTAACACAGACACAGGGTGCTCAGCACACAGTTCCATTGCAATTATCTCCAAGGGAAATCCCAGGTTCCTATAAATTCCTCTCAGACCATTTCTTATTTCTTTAGAAAAGTTCCAAAAGCCTAAACTTTGAAAATGAGAACAGTACAGGTTTCTTTTGTGTTTATTAACATGCATTAGCTTTAAATTTTACATTTGGCTAAAGGGAACCTTTAGCCTAAAGAATTTTATGGGCCCAATGACATTGGTGCATGTATGCGTGGGCAAGCATGTTGTGCTAGCCTTCATTTGCTTTCGGGTTAACAATTAATGCATATCAGGAATGAAATAAAAACCCCACTGACTGTAAATCATCAACATCATCATGGAATTTACTTAGCTATTGTTAAAATCTGGAATAAAAGAACTGAAATAAAGAAACATTGGTAATATGCAAATACACATATGTTGGGGGAGAGAGAATGTGTCATCTCATGTCCATAGAGGTTTGGGCCTTTGTCAGAGGACAATTGCACAAGAAAGGTCCTATCAAAATGTAACAACCACCTTTTGCCCCTTAAAGGAGCCCTGATATTTCTGCATTGAAGCAATTTTGAGTGTTCTCTTTGACCTGAAAAAGGGGCGGGGGGGATTCACTCGAGAGTCTCCTTCATGCCTTCAGGTTTTCTTCAGTTGTCCTGCACTTAGTGCCTACAGTAAGAAGAATAGGAAAGGGAATTGTTTATCCGCAATCAAAGTACCAGTGAGCAATTTCAAGACTGTTTGGAAATGTACTTTTGTCCCACTTGATGTTGCCCAGTTTCAAGAAGAACTCTGCCGTAAGTTCAAATTCTAAGTAGACACCAGAGAAATACTTTACTTGCATAAAAATTGACAGTTAAAAATCGAGAGGTGGTTTGAGAAATATTAGACCAACTCAACTGAATAAAAATAACAAAGAGCTCTCACCTTCCTTCCTTCCTTCCTTCCTTCCTTCTTTCTTTCTTTCTTTCTTTCTTTCTTTCTTTCTTTCGTCTCTCTCTCTATCTCCCTCCCTCCCTCTGTCCCTTCCTCTCTCCCTCCTTCCCTCCCTCCCTTCCTTCCTTCCTTTCTTCTTTTTTTGGGTTCTGATTTCTCCTTAGGAAGAAGTCAGAGGAAGTGTTGGTTACTTCAGTCTCTGTCAGAAAACAGCAGAAAAGCCATTCAGGGCCAGAGCTAATTTGTTGCCGTAATTCTTCCTGTCATGGTGGTAGTCTGCCTGCATCACTGTGATGTGGGGCACACAATGTTCTGACACAAATACCATAATGTGGCAACAAAGGCTCCCACAGAATCCGCTTTTCATAAATGAAGTTGTCTCAACACAGTGGAGTATCTAGGCTAAACTGTGTGAAAAGCTTGGTACTCACAGGGATAGAAATGTTCATTAAGGCAAAACTCTTCCATTGTGAAAGAAAGAAAAAAGAAAGAAAAAAAAAAAGACAAACTTTGCTAATCTATGCCAGAAACAGGCAGGCCTAAGGCAGGAGATGACAAAGCACTATGCTTCAAAGTGTGCATTGTGCTCGTGTGCTGAGTCCTTTGAAGACAGGCATCAAACCCTTCTAAATGGAACCAGCAAGGCTTCTGCCATTGATCTCAACAACAAATGTTTGTGTTTCATGGTCAATTTATTTATCCCTCAAAGACTTTTAGTAATGTTGTCATTAAATAGGGTATTTTCTTAAAGATAAAACTAATTTTCCATTTGAGTAATCATATTCTAAATATGAGTGAATTATGAGCTTGATCGATGCCTGGGTTTCAGCAATAGTGTGCCTCTAGAAGCTAGCTGTCATTATGTGACATGTTATGGGGCTCACAATTCTGAAATTAACCACTGTCTGTCTTCAAAATAGTCTTTACTGAACTCATACCACCAGGAAATCATTGGCAGGAAAAACATAATTGCCTTGTTAGTGGATATCTGTACTTAAAAAAAAAATAGTTTTGTTCAGTGTAAGAAGATTGGCCAGCACCAGATATCTATGGATAGCAGAAGGAAGATTTGTGTGGGGTGGGGGGGAGTCACACTTGACACAGTTCTTCTTGGACAAAGGAAGCTGAGAAAACTTTAGACTGGTGTGAGAGCACCACACATTTATGTAACAAAGGCCTTTAAATGCATGTATGCTAGGCACTTTTCTGACTATTGTTAAAAATTATACCCTATCCTTCCATTACCCACCCCATTAAACTCATCCAATTGTGAACCCTCTGAGCCACAATAACAACTGGCTTGGCAAATAGGCCCAGTGGTGCAACAGCAGCATGAGTGTTATAGGAGTAACCAACCATCTTCTCATTGGATTTAAGGCCCACATCACAAGATGAAGTTCATACCCAATACTTAATAGCACCAAGAACCTCTGACTAGCCAGGTCACAGACCTTAGGGGAGAACCTAATACTATCATTCTGCTAAATAGACATAATATTAAAACGACTCCTAATGATGTATTGTTATACCCATGGATTAATGCATCTCTCAGCTTTCACCAGAGAAGGTTCTTCTTGCAGCAGATGATGATTAACATAGAGAGCCACAGCACATCAGCATGCAGAGAACAAGAGACTGCAGAGTGCTGAGCCCCAAATGGATCACTTACATCATACTCTCTTCTCCCAAGACTCAGGGATCATTATGGAAGGGGTGTGTGGAAATATTGTAAGAGCTAGAAGCAGTAGATCAATAAGGAAACTATGTTGTCTTGTTAGCACAGGATTGTTGCACATAGGAACCACAGTGCTTATGACAACATGAGCATGACCTGTGCAACCCAAGCCAGACAGGGACCCAGCATGAATGAGGAAGGTTGGCAGGAGGCTCCAGCCCTGGCTGAAGATCTATTGCAATTGATAGATGCTAGAAGAGGGAGAGGACATTTTCCTTACTGGTGTGATGCCTGGTAGGTTGACCAGACTCCAAGGGATGAGCCCATACCTAACAGCACTTGGGAAACACAGATTAGATTTGACAGGTCTTAAAAAAGACAAATAAAAACAAAGGACATGAAGTTGGGGAACTAGTAAGGTGTGGGTAGGTAGGGGAAAGGGTCTGACCATCATCAAAATTCGATATATGAAATTTTCACATCAACAAAAATATTTTTAAAAATTCTAGTTATTCTTTTCAAATAGATACCATTTTGGCACCACTTGACAGATGAGGAATGACAGAATCTCAAATCATGCACGGACAAATATAGGATGCAACAGGGCTGTGCTGAAACCCAGGAAAGGCTGTGCAGGTGGCTTTATGTTGCCTGTCCAACAAATACATGATCGCTGCTCTCCATGAATTCTGCCGATGCCATAATACTGAGTTCTTCTTTTCCTTCTTTTTCTTTTGATTTACTTATTTACAGCTGCTACAGCCAAATATTTACTGAGCTAGTAATCTTCAGAGAGGCTCACTGGGATGAGAGGGAAAGAATGCTGGACTAAGACTCAGGAAATCTAAGCTTGATCTTGCCTCAATCACTAACTAACTCTATCGTATCAAATTACATTGGCTTCTTTTGGTTTCAGTGTCCACATGTATAAAAAAAGGCTCAGAATCATTGAAGTACATTTCATCCTTAATATGCTAAAATCTGAAGTAACTGGGCATCAGTTAGAAACATGCTCTGGCCACAACTATCTGCAAGCTCCTCTGCAGTAGATTATTACAAGGAAGACATAAA